CTGCCGCGACTCCTGCGGCACTTGGCGAATGGCATCTTCAATCTCTTCACTTGTGCGCGTTTTTTTGCGACCTGAATTGCCTAAACAAGTACAGCTCTGTAAAATAATATTTTTCAAATTCGATAATTCGATAAATTCAAAGAGGTATACCTCGGATTTTCGACGAAACATCGGCGCTGATGTGGCCTTCACGGATGGAGCTCTGTCCACGGGCCCACACGCGCTGCACTGTGTCGGGGTGGCAGTTGTGCTGTCTGGCTAGCTTGACGATGGCACCTCGAGGCAGTATGCCAGAGGACGAGACAGCAAGTAGGCTTTCGTAGATGGAACGACGCTCGTCGTGGTCGAGGTGGGTTTTGCCACCTTTTGGGCCACGAGGGTTGCGCGGACGGTTGGCAGTGCTGACGGTAGGTTGCAAAGGCATGGTTAAGGGTAGCACGAAGGTCGTGTGCTGTGCAGGCGTGCTCAAAATGAATTTTGATCAAGCAGTGATGGCCTAAAGTTTGGACCAAATGACACGTCATTTTTCCCGCCCAGTGTCTCATGAACCAAAAAGCTTTAGATCACTCCCAAACTACCGAATCAAAGCTGAGATCTTGCGCTTTCTTGTGCACCAATCGCCATGCGACATTTAGAAAAATGCCGCCAATCGGAAGTCGTACCCTGCAACTATTTCGGACCAGAGTAGTATCAATCATACCATCGACATATCCCAAGACAAAAACCCTGCAGTCGTAAATGAAGTCAGATCGGAAACTCGTTGACCACGAGAAAAGGGCGCACAATCGCCTTTTGATTCCGCTTCGACCAGGCGTACTTGCGGATTGAGTCCCGGCCGTCCTTCGATGTTTCATCGACATAGACCAGTTGATCAGGGTATGAGTAGTACGGGCTTAAGCGCCGATAGTGGTCCCGAAGTTCAAACTCAGCAGCCTCGGGGGCACGTTTCTCTAGGACTAATTACTTGAGAATTAATGCAAGAAATATGCTCAATTATACCTTTTCGCGTTAATCCTAGATCATGCATGAGCGCTCTGCATATCGTAGACGCTGAGATATTGTTGAGCGACGGGAACTGCAGTCGCAGCGCCTCTTCGAGCTCCTCTATGTAGAAGCAGGGATGCGCGATGGCGTACTCGCTGACCCATGAGTTCACTTCCGGCGGCCATCCCTTCACCCTGACCCGCCTCTTCGTGTTGCAGACATGGCCAGTTGTCGAAAACATCTTGTTGAACCTGGTTACACTACGCTCGGAGATGCCAAGGAGGAGGCACACGCATCCGGTTTCGATTCCGTAGACTTGAAGGAGGACAACGCATCTCCAGCGCATGTTAATGCTGATCATGGTAAAACAACTTGTTTGCCGAATTCAAATCGGCAAACAAGGTGATTAAGCTTAAACTCTGGCACGCCATCAATTACTTAGCCAATCATCGTTGCGTATGCAGTTGTTTAAACATCGCCATCCGTAAAATTATCTATTCATCAACCGTAATATAATGGCCGGACAGGACTAATTCAACGACGAATTTTTTTTAAACCACGGATTTAGGCCTTGAATAGCCAGAATATATGAAAAGCACAATAAAAAATGTATAAAGAGCCATCAATATAATTTATTTTACATCCGCCCCACCGCTCCAAACGTAGCACATGCATCACACACACTGTACCATGCATACAATACGCGCCGCACGCGTCGCAACACTTATTATATTTAAGCAGGAATAAGATATTGCGGAACTGTACTGCACATTCGGACACTCAACCTTACCACGTGGCAATCTTCTGCAGCTGGGTCAAACTCACACCAAACTAAAGGCAAGTTTCAGGCCAAGTATTTTCCCTGCATAGTATGGGCATAGCACATGGTGGCCATACTATGCATTTTCCCTCCATAGTATGGGTGCACCACCACCATTTCACAGCGAGGCAAGCAAATTTTGCTTCTCATTTTACAATTTTCCTCCCCTGGTGCCCATTGCGGGTGCCTGCAGCGTAATGTTCGTCACCACCAAGTGCGCCTGCGTCCGCTTAGTACCCCAGGCTATAATCCTTCTCTACAACGGAAGACGACAAGGGGGCAGGGCAATGGTTAGCCAGTGAAGATTATTCTTCGAAGTGGGCACGGGTACCAAATAGTAATAAATATTATTTTCTCGTCTTTTGTTCACATTAATAATTGCATAAACGTCACTGGATATTCGGCACATGACTGGTCGGTCACGTTATAACACATATTATCGCACGATAAGAAATATTCGGGAAAAATGATATATTATTATATATCGATGTTAAAGCACATATTGTCGCACGATAAGAAATATTCGGAAAAAATGATATACAGTCAACGAAGGAGTGGTTCGCCTATCGAACTATGTTGACATGCAACTGTTTATTTAACCAATCAAATTTTTTTGTGATTTGAAGGCATGTGATTAGGTACCTATAATATTTTCCCGCCGGCGCGATTCCTTTAAAAATTCTCGCCACAATCATTGACAAATTGATGACAGTGAACTCAACGCTTCGCGGCCCAAAGCGCGCCTACCAAGTGGCCATCAGGCTTGAGACCATTGCACTGCTGGAGACTATGTCGGACTACAAGGTGTCGGCTCAACTGGGAATTCCTCGACGAACCATACGCTCCTGGGCCGACCAGCGAGACGATATCCTGGCGTACACCGGGAACAAAAAACGAATGAAACTGGTGGCCGCTCCGAGTCCTTTCCTGGCCCAACAGGACTCGTCGAGTTCATAGCCGAGATGCATGCTCGTGAACGTGCATTGACCACAATTCATATTATCAACTCGATTAAACGCTTCCAACCTGACTGGCTGCGACTGTACCTTGCCGATAAGGAGCCGGGCATGGCATACCAAAGCCTCCTTCGTTAACTCTTCTGCAATCTCATGGGTACTCTCGGCAACGCGCTGGACATACCAAGAAGTCCCGTGCTGCACTGACCGAGGTCCGCGACGAGTTTGCGGAGGAGTTTCACCGCGCCTTCGATGCCGACGCTGTCTACAACGTGGATGAGACGGGTTTTCACTATGACATGCCACCGAGGTACATTTGGTCAATCAGGGGTGGCGATGCCAAAGTGTCGTCGGGTGAGAAGCATTCACTTCGCATGACTGTGGCGCTTACCGTTCGTGCCGATGATGCCTCTGCTGTTCGTCGTTCGGGGCCGACCCGGCGGTCAGATCGCAACCAACGAGCTGCCAACGTATCCCGCTGGCCATGTCTACGCAGTACAACCCAAGGCATGGATGGACAATGACGTGTGGCGACAGTACCTTCGTGACTTGCTACTACCCTGCATTGAAGCGCCGTCGGTCATCTTGGTGGACAACTTTGAGTCGCATGTATCCGACGTGTCCTATGACATTGTTCAAGACGAGCTGAGCAGTCTCCTCGTACCGATGCCTCCGATTGCGACATCTATGTGTCAGCCGCTGGATGTCGGTGTGATGGCGCCGTTCAAGAGGCTCCTACGGGACGAGTGGTTGGCTGAGGAGATCATCGACGACGACGATGAGTTTGACTCACCCTGTGTTGCGCAGAAACGTTTCGCAATGATCAAACGGGCAATTTCGGCGTGGGAGAAGGTCAGCGAAGAAGTCATTCGCCAGAGCTTTGCCAAAGCGATTCCTCGCACTTGAGCACACTGCCGTAGCCACTCCTTGCTTTATATTAATTGTGGAATTAATATATAACTGTTTGGTTTGTATTTGAATTTTGTAAGTAATTTTTCTAATTTTAAATAAACGGGAAAAAGTTTGACACTGACGGGGGCTTGAACCCCGGCCCCCTTCCTCAAACGACTTGGATGCCGTCGCACTAACCATTGCGCCACCGCGTCAAACGCTATCTTTAACATAGGTTTTTCGTATTGCTTGAATTAAATTACATCGCTTTTCAAGAATTGATGTCCTGTGTAACCGAATGCCGGTTTGGAACACAAGTACTCGGTATGGGCTCCCAATTTTCATAACCTGTCGAAATTTAAATAACACATTCAATAAAAACGAGAAAAATGGTCTTCATTGGCTAAAACGATTTTCGTAGTTCGAAGTTTGGCGGCCAATCATTTACCGTTATTGTCCGATTCCTCGAAGAAAACAGTAGGTGAACCACTCCTTCGTTGACTGTATTATTCCCACTACTGACTACCTCGCATAAAAAAATCTCATAGCTGTTGTTGAACCAGAACATTTTTTTCTACACTTTCGCGCAGCGCAACGAGGATTCCTTCAAGCTGCTGGGTTGTAGCTGGTGCTCTAGCAGAATCGACCATGCCCTTAGCAATACTCTCCCCCATTGCAACTATAGACGACGCCATAGTCAACTTCGCACCTCTACCGGCTCGCTGTCGATCGACTTCGTCTTGCTTCTTCTCCGCTGAGCCTTGGTTGGAACGTCGCCGTTTGTTGGGCGTAAGAGTAACATTATCGTCCTCACTATCGCTGCTTCCTTGCAATACCATGTCCTGTGAGTTGACGCCAATAGACTCGGCATACTCCATGTTTCCCATGCCTGACTTGTTGCCTAGCACATTACCATGTCGGACCAGTACACGGGGTATTCGATATCCGATTTGTTTCCAGTAGCTGACGCGGCCTTTTGAATCTTGGCGTAGTCGATCTTGAGCTTGCAGAAATTTATCTTGGCCGCCGTTCCCGTCACAGTCGTGTTGAATTCTTGGGAAAGATTCAACGCAATATTTCCCCAGTACTTGGATAACTGGGCGTTGCTGATGTTGGCCATGAATCGGGCTTCGTAGTCGTCGCAGCGCAGCTTCATAAGTATGGAAGTCATTGGAGCCGTCCAGACGAGACGGCCTATTGGATGCTGCGGTTTTGCGTCGGAGGTGCAGCAGATTGCAAAACCACCTGGGGATTTGCGCGGAGCATGTCGTTCTCACCTTGTAACTCAGCCAGCTCCGACGCACCCTACCATCTAAGTTTGCACTTGTATTTGACGGCTGGACGTCTGGGTCAACTGACTACGTTGCTGTTTTTGCGACGTTTCCATCTGACGATATGATTGGCTATCAACGTGTCCTACTATCGTTTGCACCAATGAACGACGAGGAGTCGCTCAGCGCCGACGCTCATATCAACTACATCCAGTTTGTGTTGGACTACTATGGAAAGTCTATGGATAACGTTGTGGCATTTGTAGGAGACAATTGTTTGAGCAATGTGGCATTTGCTCTTAGGACTGGACGTCCATTGGTGGTTGCGCTAGCCACCGTTTCAACCTGTGTATGCGACAGTTTTTGGAATCTCATGACGTTTTGATCAAAAATATCAAACACTGTTATGCGGATGTTGAAAACCATTATTCCTGCTTCCAAGCTCTAGCGACACATACTGCTTCGGGTAAGCACGACGAACGCAACTCGTTGGATTTCCGTTTATACCATGATGGAACGCTATATGGCCATCCATACCTTTATCGCTCTTATTAACGATGATGCGGATATTGGCGAGCTACGCCTGTCCACTCGCGACGACCGTGAGGTCGACTTGCTGCTTGCCCAACTGGACAACTTTGATTCTGTGACGTTGGCCCTGCAGTGAGATACGATGTCGTTGTCTGATATTCACATTCTACTCGACACGGTGATGGAGGATTGCCCAGAGGCGGCGCACTATATGTCTCCATCCGCCACTATTGTTCATCAGCTCAGCTTTGAAAATGCGGTGTGAAAAATACAGAACCCATTATCCAGACAGATGAGTGTTGGCGAAACCGAGAGTGCAGGTGGTTTGCGTGTTGCACCGCTGGAGGCTGCGGTGACCGACAAGCACGAGACCTACGCGGAGCGCGCGCTCAAACGACAACGTCGCGTGCCGTCGGAAAACACGTTCCTGGATGACCGCTTCATTGTCCCAACATCAAACATTTGTGAGGGATTCTTCGCTGCCACGACGAGGGCCATCCTTGATCACCGTTGTGGTTTGCTTCCGAAGAACTTTGAGTCTCAAATGTTTTTGTATGCGAACACGGACATGTGGGGCATGGATGACGTGCAGAAAATCATGCAAGGAAACGAGCAATACGAGATGTAACAACTGCATAATGTGTTTGCCATGATGATTTTTTGAAATATTCGAATAATTCATTCGCCTTTAACGCAGATATTCGAATAATTCATTCGCCTTTAACGCAATAACTCAGCCCCCACGGCGCTGTCGAATACATAGAGTCTGTGATGCCTATCGTCTCGTACTCCTTGCGTTCAAAAGCTTATTGGTCACATAAATTGTATTTTCAGTGATTCTGATCGATTTCGTGTGTTTCCACACTAAACGGAAATCCAAAATAATACCTTGCAAGTAACAAGATAATTTTATCCCTGAGAACAGACTTATAATTGGCAATACAGATTTCATAGGGAAAATATTCCTACTCATTGTCCATTTCGCCTATACATTTCCTATGTCTTTCTACTAATGCCAAATATATACGTTTTACGAAATATATCTGCCGGATACAATAGGAGAAACGAAACACGAAATTTCGTAAACCCAGATAGTGGACATTTTTTAATTTGATATTTGTATGCCAAAATTATATCCAGAGATATATAGGGTTTTTTGAAATCGAGTATCCGGACACAGTTTCAGAATCGTTATACAGCAATGCCATCGACCAAACGCAAAGCCACAGCGGCACCGACCACCGAGGACATAAGTCTGGTCGATTCAACAACTGGGGGTCAAGTTATGTTGCTTCGATATGGCAGTAAAACACGCTATCAGGTCGAGAAGCCGCTGTTGCGTCTTAAGTCATGTCTCTAGCGCGAGCATCCTGGTTCTATGTGGAGTGGAGAGGTTGCGCCCCCGCTCGATCCATCGATCTGCAAAGGGTTCTTTGCATACTGTATGAATGTATTAAATGGGATCCCGATGGTGCCGAACTTGAGCCACAACAGTTCAAGTCCTACTGCGCTATCAACGTATGCAAGTGTGTCATCAAGTTCATGTACAAACAGTCAAATCTTCGCGTTTCCGAGGAATTGGATGCACTGTTAGCAGGTACTTTCATCCTGGTATAATACTAGATTCAATTAAAAAATATGTTATTTATTCGTCAGACTTTGCATGCGGGTATAAGCGAAAGGTTGCGCAACTTAAGGACTGCAGGGCCATGACTATTGGTGAAGGAAAAAGACCAATGACAATAGACGGTCACTATAGAGATGCTATGTATGGACAGGTTGCCATGTGGAGGGTATTGCTTTTTGGCAGCAAAAGCCCTTCTTAGTGAAGTCGAACACAACCTGACAACAGTGGCCCATCCATTTTTACTGCTATGTTGGAACCTGATCGCACGGTCCGCAACTGCTGCAGCAAGTTAAAAGTCGACGTTGATACAGGTCGAATGCAAAAGTCAACAACAAACTTATGTTCGTCCGGGATCCCACCCCACGTTGCAGTTGGCCATCGTTTGGCTACGATGGAGCACGACTTGAAAATTGTGAACGAGCAATTTACTTATTTACTATCTAAGATAAGTGACCATGTTGTGGCATAATTACGGGCCCCATCAAGCACGTTTGGCCCACCAACAACGACCCCGACGGATTTGGCGTCCTTCCGCGATTCCATCTTGGATGAAATCCTCCAATTCGGGTGTGGCACCACGCCTACACATACCCAAACAAGTGGCAACGAAGTTACTCCCGAACCATGGTGGGACAGCACGAACCATCACCAACAATTGAGGCCCACCCTACCACCTGGGAAGATTTCCGACTTGTGGAATGCCTGGTGGTCCGGCTTACCGGGGAGTGGGAGTGTACCCTTGCGCCTCCAGATCTTGCTCGTAGCAGTGACCGCGTGAACTACTCCAAGTTCAAGCGAGTTATTGCAGCCTTGATGAAGCACTCTGGTACACCTGAGAGTGTCGTCCATCGCATGCTCGTGGCAAGCAGGGCCACCCTATGCGCATCTAGTCTCCAGCTGATTGGCTAAGTTAGCAAGCTTACACTAGACTAGATGACATACCCAACCATGTATGATCTCATCAAGAAGCATAACCTTTAATTAACATTTGCATCATTCATCGTTCTTGTGTCCGCAGATCCAGCAAAGTCAAAAGTGTGTGGCAAATACAAATACCTTTATCGCTGCAAGCGAAAGGTAAAATTATAAGGATTTTTTAGACATTGACATTTCGTAAACCCCTCAATATCTCTAAATATACTGTCGTCGCGGTGGAGATGCTCTTACAGTTAACACATCGTAACCATATAGAATATATAGTACTACTAATAGTAACGTTAGTATTAATATATCGTAGTAATTCTTATCATACTAGTATGGTACTAATTAGTGGTTATACGTGATTGTCCTACACTAAAACGAATCGCCCGCACAATAATTTCATTTACATGTCGTAAAACTCGTTTAACTTGGAACTAATGTTATATTCTGCTTTTCACCTCATTTGCCCCTAATATTAGCACGTTATTCAATGCACCCCTTAAAATAATATTATGCAAACTCCCACGCTTAACAACGACAAGGGACATATTGGCATTCAGACTAAAATAATTCCAGGCCGTCATTAATATAAATAGAACATATGGTACAGTACAAGCATTTTGAAAACGACGATGATGCATGATGACTTGCTCCCGCTGCCAGACTCATTTCGATGCCGCTTACCGCAAAGGTCGGAAAACCCTTAGGCAAGAGCCTGTTGGACAGCCCGTTGAGCTCAACCTGAGCAACACAGCGTCGTTTGGAGTCGTGAGCGCCATGCTTGTGGATACGATCACCACCCTTTTTGCTGCCTATCATACAGAACAATCAAATTTCAAGTTAATCTGGGACCCTGCAACCCCGAAAGAGGTATACTTAAAGACGGCAGCTAACTCAACTCAAGATAAGTATGTCAAACTAACCATCGGCAACTACAACAACATGATCCAGCAAGTCTGGGAAAATGGAAACAAATTCCGCAATGGTCAAGCATCATTTTCTCTGTTGCTATTCGTGTACATTGGTAATAACTTGTTCGATATTAAATACTTCAACTAATATAAAATGTACTGATACTCGTCCAAAATAACTAGACAAAAACACCCAAAGTGCAGGAATTAGACGAGCAACTGCAAACAACATCGAGACGTCGGCAGCCCGTGTGGCTAGTTATATTCAAGAACAACACATGAAGCTTGGGCCACTCCAAACCAATTATGCATCCGTTGTGACAGCCAGATTGTGCGCCTGTTAGCATCCCCAACAACGCCACGATGCAACAACTCGGGCATATCGACAGGATGGCGGCCGTATATTCTGACTCAAGACGTCGGGACGTGACAACACAAGCGGAGACGTACCGCATGGTGCGTATACGTCTGGGGACTTTGGCAAGCCCTCCAGTTCATTGCTTTGCCGTCATAGAAGACCTCCGCCGGATTCTTGGAATCCCTCCGTTTGACCTACCCCTATCTTTCGGGAACCGTTTATGGGCGATGTTCCAATTCCAAGTCATAATGTGGAGGATGTAGACCACATTGAACATGATTAATGCATCAAACACGTTACATTAAAAATGTTTATCTGTCTAATTCATTTGAATCGTAGCCGCAATGGCAATACAAATGCCAATCCTATCATTTTTTTGTACATTCTACCAATGCCACATCTAATACAGATCTAATACAGATCTAATATACATTCGAAATGCTAATGGGTACTTGTTAATCCATCGCTTCAATAGGCTAAATCCAACTTCAATTGGATTGAGTGGGGGTGAATATGGTGGCAGAAAGAACAGCAACACCCTTTGCTGTCGACAGCCACTTAAAGCTCGTTGGACATGTGTATCTTTGCATTGTTTAAAATCAGAATGGAGGGTGGAAGGGGCCAAGCGTTTAAGCACGGAATGATACGCTTGACCATCGCGTTGTGAAATGTTTCACGGTCAAATGTTCCTCCCGTTTCAAAATTACTAAAATATGAAAAAATGTGAAATCAATTTTGAATTATAAATTACCATCAGCATACTCCCACGCCAAATAACCCCGACATTGTGAACGCAGCTAGAGCAGATACATGATCGCCTCGTGCAAACGGTAGGTCCACAATCGCTTTCGTATTTCGCTTCGACCACGCGTACTTTCGAAGTGCGTTGCGACCGACCTTGGAAGTTTCGTCGACGAAGACAAGTTGGTCGGGGTACAAGTGGTAAGGTTGCAGGCGGCCGAAGTAATCCCGCAGCTCGAAATCAGCAGCTTCAGTTGCACGTTTTTAACGCACTACATCGATATTGAATTATATGCAGGATAAAATACAATACGTTAACTACCATACCCTTTCGAGTAAGCCCGAGGTCATGCACGAGTGCTCGACAAACGGTTGCAGCAGAAACGTTCTTGATCGTCGGGAACTGGTGTCGAATTGCTCACTTCGAGTTCCTCAATGTAGAAGCCAGGGTGGCAAAGACTGCGTAGTCTTGCACCCAAGCGCTCATGTCGGCTGGCTATCGGTGCGCAAGTGTTAGTTTTCGGACATTAGTAACGTGTCCTGTGGACACGAACATGGCGTTGAATCTTGTTACTAATCGTCGTGACATCCCAAGGATCAACCGCACAACATCAATGTCGATACCGTACACTTGACAAGTATAACACACCTCCAACGCATGTCAATGCTGATCGTCGTAAAACAAGTTTGCCACTTTGAAATAGGCAAACAACTTGAATACGCTTAAAAGTTCGGCGTCCAATACTTCTTAGCTAATCAACACTGCTTGATGTCGTTATTTTACAATGCTATCCGTTAATCCATGTATACACTCATCCGTAAAATTTTGTTGATTTATCCTAACCTTATAACGAAAAAATATTAAGGAGGGTTTTAGCCGTGGAATAGCCAAAAACGATGAAAAGCACAATATATGCTACCTGGTACTAATAAGGTAGTCTACCACAACGACTCGGACGTGAAAACCATTCGGACAGAGGCATATTTGAGGAATTAAAACAATGGCTGCATACAAATTCCAAGCTTGCTTCAAGTAATTAAAATAACGATGATAGGATACTTCATTTAAGTCAAGTTGGGTACAACGTAACTAGAGACATCACATCAACGGCAACCGCAAGTCCTTACTAGTACTAACGTAGTAACCAAGTGGTCATGCTAACAGTCAAATAGGTAAAGCGTTAGTGATTACTACGTAGTACAATACTACTTAATCCATCACGCTCGCAAGGGCCACCGCTAAACTACACTGTACTGCCCTGCAACATCAAATAACATATGACAATTATAAAAAGGAATATTCTATTTCAAAACATTACTTGTATATAAACTATATTGAGACAAGAAAATTTAATTCTATTTTGATAGAAGTGCTCGGGATGTTGCAAGTCAACTTCTGCTACGAAATTCGATTATATTCTACACGTGCTTTCGTTGGGCGATTTAGATTTGGCTCTAATGGCCCGTGGGCCGAGAACAGAATAATCGAAGTTATTGTGTGCGGTCGAACAATATCGAAGTGCGTCGAACAATGCAAATTGAAGAATGAGAATTGAATCCATCCCAACACGGGTTAGGTTTAATACAGCAGCCAATCGACTACTCGTACGGTAAATTTATGCGGATGAAAGTGTCTTTCTACAATCATTTCCCAATTTCACTCGTAGCCGACACTTCCTCGGTGTTCATCAACGTCATCCAATACAAGGAAATGAATCGCATCTAATATGTTTAGGAACTGTGGCGATGACGACAACTGCGACGATGACAATTGCGACGACATCGACTTAACAGTGGTCGCTGGCGTCGAGGGGACCAGATATTAGGTTTACAAGAAAATATAGAAATTAAGAGTATTACTGTAGAAAGGTTTTGCGACTAATTTATACTACGTGGTATTGTGTTGAATCTACATGTATTGATTTCTAAAGGCATAATAATGAGAGAGTTTTCAGTGATCGTTACTAGTCTGAGTCACTGTCACTACTATCTTCGGATGCGTCGTCCGACGACATACCATCTTCTACCTCGTCATCATTGGCAAGTAACAACTCATACGTCTCTTGTAGAAGCTTGTTACAGTGCCGAACGCAATTCCAAACGACATCCGAGGGTAGGCTGACAAACGCGGCGTCCAGACGCGACCGCACATCCGCAAACGTCGTATCCACGGTATATTGAACTCCAACGTCGCCTTTGACTTTGGCCGACACCATTTCAATAGGTTGAAGATCCGAATGATGTGGTGGTGTGAAAACCACATCGTGTCCTCGGGCCCGCGCCATGGACACTACGACCTGGTCGATGCGTGTTGACAAGAC